AACAGGAAACCTCTATTGAAAGCAATGTGACAATGTTTATGAAGATTACAAAGGCATACACCCTTTGATGCAGTAATCCCATGTTTAGGAATCTGTCCTATATATATGCTCACACATGCATGAAATTAAAATGCACCCAATAATTCAGTGTAGCATTGGTTGTCATAGCAAAGGTTGGCAACAACCCACTATCCATCAGTATCGAATTGGCTGATTATAGCACACCCATATAACCAAATTCTCAGAAGTCATAAAAAAGGGAGGGGGAGTTCTGTAGGTGCAAATATGGAAAGCTCTCTAAGGTATTAAGTTTAGAAATCAAGGTACACACAAAGATAGGAGCTGCTATTTATGAAAAAAAATTGGAGGCTAGTGGACAGAAGTACCGTCCTTTTGTGGCTTTTGAGTTTTGAACCATGTAACTGTCCTCTCAGATTTTTTTTTCAGGCATTTTAACTTTTACTGGGCTTACACACAGGTTCTAAAAATGGCAATGAATATGTATTATAATACATTTACAAACATTTTTAAAGATCTTTTTAAAACTGTTAGGTGCCATGGAGCGGGTTCTGACTCATAGCAACCATAGGGAACAACAGAACCTGCAATGCTTCTCTAATTTCTAAACTCACTAAAATCCCACCCTTTGGATTGCACTGTCCCCATTATAAACTAATACATAATCTATTTAGAACACTTGCTATTCCCTAACGGTGTGGGGATGAAATCCCTGGGTGGCACAATAGTCGAGCGCTGGACTGCTAATCAAAAGGTTGGCGGTTCAAACCTACACAGAGGCGCCTACAAAGAAAGGCCTGGTGAACTGCTTCTGAAATGTCACAGCCCTGAAAACCCTACTGGGTCCAGTTCTACTCTGCACAGATGGGGCCACCATGAGTTGGAATCAACTGGAGGGCAGGTAACGATGACAGTGTGGAAAGACAGATTTCGAAGCTCTTCAGTTCAAGAGGCTGGTTTACGATTTTTAAGGGCCTGGAGAAATGCTGCACACAGAAGGTGGACAGTACTCCAGATGCAGATGATCATCAAATTAAGGATTCTCAACCCTGGTTATGCTTCAGGATAGCCTGAGGAGCCTCAAAAAATACCAATGCCATGCACCCCAATCTTCAACCATCCACATCGGATATTTGGAGGACAGGGCCCAGGCATGAAAAACACTGATCTAAATACTTTAAAACTGGTTCGCAACAAGGGGTGATTTTGTGCTCCTAAGGGACATTTGGCAATACCAGGAGATATATTTGGTTGTCACAATTCGGGGTGGGTGGGAGGGGTATGCTACCGGCATCTAGTAGGTAGAGCCAGGGATGCTGTTAAACACCCTACAGTGCACAGAACAACCTTCAGTAACTAATTATCGTTCAACCCATACTGCCGATAGTGCTGAGATTGAGACCTCTGCTTTCAAAGAAAACCACTGCTTCTAAAGCAGGCATTTGACAGCTAACCTTGGAAGGAAGACTGGGCAATCTACTTCTATAGAGATACCGCCTCGGAAACCTAAGGAGGAGTCGCTATGAGTCAGAACCGACTTGATGGCAGTGAGTTTGGTTTTTTTGGAAGTAACAACCAGCTGTAGTCTTCACCCTTAAACAAGGAAAATAATCTCCTTCTTTACTTCTGTAGGATACCAGTAGTGTAATAAAACTATTTCTGTGACCACAGAAACTGCCATTTATTTGTTGCAGTTGCAGTGGTTATAATAAATACTATAAACATAAAATTTTGCATGTAACCTTTCTCTGGTCAGGTGACTAGTTTTATTCTAGTTAAACAAAACAAAACAAAAACTCATGTCTCATCTGTAGCCAGGGTAGTAGCCTGTGAGCCAATGTGGTCCATCCATCATCTATTTAGCTTGAGCCACATTCCTTGAAAATACAGGTAGTCCCCAATTTATGACAGGGTTCTGTTCTCAAGACTCCATTGTAAGTTGCATACCTCATTTTTCTTTTTAATTTTCATTATTATTACTTTTTATTATCAATGCCTTTATAAATCCAACCTTTGTTTCTGTTTGGGGGTTGGAAATATTACATATAAACTTACAGATGTATTTTAATACATACATACACACATTAAAAAATATATATACATGGCAGTAAAAGAATGGACAACCCTGGTATTTTGTCAGTTGCAGTAATAACTCCACTTGTGGAAGGTTCTGGATCATCTGGATTCTCCCTGGGAATGCGGATGGCCGTTCCAGTCAGAAAATTAGTGGGAGTTGTCTGTATGATCCCCTTTACACACTGCAACACTGTATCGAGTACATATCACTAACAGTAAGATTTGCAAAAAAAAAAAGACTGCCTTGAAGTGCAGTTGGTTGTTCTCTACTATGCTGCAAGTTGGGAACTAGCTGTAGACTGAATTGATGTTAATCAGCTGCAGCTGAGGACTGGGAATTTGCCACAGTCCCCACTTGGCTGGTTTCACATACTCAGTTGCTGTTCGCTACTAGGTCCTTTAAGCATTTGAGTTGGCCCTTCCCTGTCATTTTCCACAACCATACAGGATCATATAGCCTCTTTATGATTCTTCCTCCTCACCTTCAAAATATCCCCATCCCCATTCTAAATCCTCAAACTCTCATATCATGTGCCAAAACAGAACTTCTATCAAAAGATGGAAGAACTAAGAGTATAGGTAGAGATGGCCTTTGTATGACAACCCCCTCCTTTTAGTTGTCATGCCACTAAAGATAGGCTGATTGCCACCTGATTCATCTCTGGGAGTACAAACCAGGCTTGTGATTTCTAGCAAATTCCACTGCAATTATATATAACGCTTCTGTGAGCTTCCCTATAAGGAAAAGACTTAACATAGCATGCTTCTCCCATTACCCTAGATTAGAATATCTCTCCATCCCTGACCAAAGGGATCAGAAACCTTTTATGGGAAGATCTATCAAAAATTTGGGGGTTTGTTTTTTCAAAAAGCTTACCCCTTTTCCTCTGAAATGACAATCATATAATTTTGGAGCTGTTGTTTGAAAATGACCTGATACAATCCACACGTTTTAAAAATGAGAAAAATGAACCCCAGTGCCCAAGGTCACCCAGCGAGGTCACATAGCAGAGTCAGAATTAGAACATTTGTTTCCAGTTACTGGACCCATAGGTTATCCATGACAACACTATCCCCTACTGTGGTTTTTCTACTCAAACAACATCCTTGCCAAGACACCTATTAACATGGGTAGACTCTAGCTGTTACAGAATAAATCAAACGAAAATTCAGCCAAACTATTAGAGTTTAGCACTTCAACTTTGAAGGTGTAAAGGAGGAGTTGGGAGTTGCTGGGTTCCCTTGTTCCTTTTGGTGTGTATTAACCTGTCTCAGTTTACCCTAAAAAAAAGGCGGATGCCATCAGATTCTTCTCCAAAACTATACAGTAGAGATGGAAAACATGTCTATTTATAGCAGCAGCAACATTTTTTTCCCCCCTAAACTCTGAAGCCAGGAGCTGCCCCACCTCTAAAATTCTCTCAAATGGCCAGGAATGGGACAATAAAACTACTGAAGAGCTTTTAGGGGTGAAGTTTAAGACACAAAGATCAACATCTCCCTAACTTTTACTTTCATCATCATTCTCTGGCAAAAAAAAAAAAAGTGTCTTAAAATTTAATCTGGTCTCAACTTTAATCCATTCTTTCCTCTTTCTATCCCACCTTTTTTTTAAAGTATGGACAACAAAGCATTTTGCATATCATGTCTTCTTGGAATATTCTACCTACTCTGCACTTTAGTTTTTATGCCCAACTGATACTGTCCCTTGGCAGTTACATAAAATTCATTAATTAAACATAAAACCAAAGCAAACCCCATGCATAGAGTTGATTCTGACTCATAACGACCCCATAGGACAGGGTAGAAATGCGCCATAGGATTTCCAAGGCTGTAATGTTTATGGACACCCATCTTTCTCCCGCTGACTGGCTGGTGGGTTCCAACGGCCTAGCTTTAGGTTAGCAGCCAAATGTTTTAACCACTGTGCCACCATGGCTCCTTTAATTAAAATGCACTCCCATTATTCTCCCTTGAGAGCTTAGAACATCTTTGCTGCTCGATTTTATTTTCCTTCTGGGAAGCAGAATTCCATTCTGATACCTGGGTGCCCATTTCTGTTTTACGGGTGTTTCACAACCGCTTCCCTCGCATTCGGCACTGCGAACGTTCACCCTGGGGTTGAAACGGCACCACTCCGGGAAATACCCAGTTTGAACACGGAGTGTTGGAACCTATTTGCATCTCAGCTAGGCCTCAGGCAGGTTGGGGCCTTGGTCTTCTGCACTCCCACCTCAATCCATGGGAGCTGCCCACCAGCCCACCTGACAAGGTGAAGGTGGGTGCTACACAAAAGGAGAGGCACGCGGAAAGGTGCTGACCCCCAGGCCGGGGTTGTATCAGCCCCTGCTCTGACGCTACGTGCCCACAAGTCCGCTCTCCCCAGCATCTAAGGCGCTGGCAGTCCAGGCCTCTCACTGCATTCCTATAACATGATGAAGACAACAGTTCGAGTCCCACGACTCAGGCCACACAGCAGGCACCTCAGAGAAGGGGCAAAATGCCATTGCATAATTTCTTCGGCCTCAAGATGTTTCTAAACAGCTCTTACTCAACCAAAAATATTCAAGTATGAATACATGAAACAACCATCCTCCTTGCCATCCCCCTCCGAAGTTTTAAGGGCAGTGATGTGTGAGGTAGATCTGAAGCGAAAGATTCTGGCAGGTATGGGAGTCCCGCCTGAGATGAGGGTACTCGGACGCGGTTTCTGGTTCTCCTGGTTGGACCTCAGCCGGTGCAAAGGTGCCAGGCCTGCCTCTCCGCGCCCCCGGGCGAGCCCCTCTGGCACTCCCCGCCCCGCCTGCATTTCCCCTGGCTTTTGCCCCAAGGCTGTGGGATCGATGGCGGCCCCACGCCCTATCCAGCTTGCCCGGGAGCCCCCGAAGCTGCCGGCTCCCACTCACCGAAGTCTAGGAACTGCTTGATGGAGAGCGGCGACGGCGAGAAGCGGGAGTAGCGCTCGATCTGCTTGGGCACCGGCTGCTTCAGCAGCGCCTGGAACAAACGCATCCTCGATGGAGCGTGGCACAGACCCGCTGAGACGCCCAGGCTGCCACGAGGGCCGGCGCAGC